CCTTGATTTTTATTTGTCAATGCTCCTTCCTGTCATTGGTGGTTGACGGGATACAGAACAGCTGCTGCTCACCGGCTACATCCAAGGAGAACAAAAGTAGAGGAGAAAATAAAAGAAAAAGGAGGAAATGAACGGAAAGGAAAGAGATGGATTTGAGGAGGTAAATTTAAAATGTACATGGATAGTTATATAACATCTAAGTTAACCAAGCAGCTTTTTTACTTCTCCTAAATTCTCCTTTTCTCGTAACCCTTGCGCCCGACCACGGGCAAAATAGGAGCAGGTACTCGAGCCTGGTACGGCGAACTGCTGCCTACAGCTCTCGGTTGGGATTTTGGAAGGGAAAATCGAAGCTTTTGAGGGGTAAATTTTGGGAGGAAAGATAATTTATATTTGAACATACATATGAATTCTTATACACGAAAACCAAATTAATGAAATTTCAGCCATCTGAGAAAATTCAAAGATGATTAGGTAAGACGTAATGTAAATATATGTATTTATATATTTACTTCATATAACGACTTCCACTAAATTTAATTAAGCAAAAAAAACCCATTTAATTCCTTCTTTTGCTAGGAATGACAAAAGCTGAATAATATAAATAAAAACTGAACCTTAAAAGTGATAGAATGTAATATGGAAAACCTACTTGAGGTAAAAATTATTTAATATTGTTGAGAAATTGCAATAGGTTAAATTTAGAATTTTCTTTAATACAAATCGTGAATTTAAAAAATGATCTTAATTTATTAGAACTAAATGAAAATATAATACTAAATAGAACGCGATGGAGAAAAAGGATTGATGTAGCCGACCCCACGTAGTGGGATTAAGGCTTTGTTGTTGTTGTTCTACAAATCGTGAATTCCAGGCAATTTACACTGAATGGTGAACATAAGGCGAACCTGGAAACACTTATTGTGAGGTTGTCCCATCAAAACAGATAAAATAATCATGTAATAAATTAATAAGAAAATCCTTCTGCAGGATTAATGTGTGATACATTGATAAGAAATTGATTTTAAAAATTTTTGTACATTGTTGATTACCTACATAAGTTAAAGAAAAAAATTGAGTTGACATTACTAATTGTATGGATTTTATTATATTATTGGGCATGTTCATTAAATGAATCATTTGGAGGTGCTCTCATAAAATTATAAATGCATTTGAGAAATGGTTTTTAACGGATAAAATGATCAAGGGAATAACACAAATGTTGTGATAAGTAGATTATTATATTGATGAAATGTGCAGGTAAGATGATGGAGGAGAGAAATTCTAGTACTTTTTACTCCTAATATTGATGTTGGAAGTAGGGTTGTCAAAAAAGTTCATTGTTTGTGAACAACTCATGTTCGGCTTGTCAAGTAACTCATATTCAAATTGTTCGTTAAGGGAGTCGAACACAAATAAATTTTTTAAACTTAAATTATAAACGAGTTGAATGCGAATAACCTTTGTTCGATCTTGTTTAACTCATTTTAGCTCTAAATAAGAAAATTATATATATTATTTAAATCATAACATATTATATATATTTATATCTAAATTTAAATTACTATAGCTCGTGTGGTAATGTGGTTCTGTTCTTTTTATTGCACAAAAAAGGTACAGGTTCGAATTCAACACCTTACATCTAATTTTCTAATAAATTTAAATGAGTCAATTTCGAGTGGAACACAAGCCAAACAAAAACAAGAATATGTCAATGAAGTTGAACACGAACACACTATTTACGAGCAATTTCGAACACGAGTCATTTTCAAACAAAATTAGTTTCGAACGAGACAGACAAAAGCCCAGCCTAAGCTTGTTCAAGTTGGCTCAATTACAACCCCAACTAAAACTGACATTTTGATATCAAGACTATTGATAATTGATATGTTGAGAAATATCATACATTTATCAATAGTTGTTATAATCGATAGGTTGAATGACGATATAGAAAAAGAATTAAACAAAAGCATATGCAATTACATGTGACAGTTCTAAGACAACATACAATAAGTATGAAGCAAGTAAATACATTCATATGATTACGAAAGGGATGAATGAAATATGTGTCTATTATAGTGTGTCCTTTTTACTACTTTTATATCATTATTTACATATTTCATATAATTAAATCATGTTTATAATGTATTGATGTCACCCATACAAACCATAGTTGAGCATTTATATTATTTTCTTTCCGTCTTTGAAATCTTATTTCACTGGTCATTTCATTGAATTTATAGCTTACCCTTGTTTGTTATTATTCCTCAAGGAGTGGTAAGGAGTTAAAGGGCAAATTGGGTAGGTGAGCTTTTGTATAGTTTTTTGTTTATAAAGTTTGAAAAAAGTTATGATCATTTTTGGGTATATATTTTTTATATGTTTAATTTTTAGTAGCTCTATTATAATTTGTTAAATTATTATACACGCTTCCTCTGTGTTGGAGTTATAAATGAATAGTAACTTGAATTGGATTGTTTAAATTTGTGATGATCGAGAAAGACTAATTCCCCGACTACTAAGTCTTGATTTCTACAAGTTAGAACGAGTGTTAGTGGAATTTTTCTCTGCCTGAGTTTTCCACCTCTACTACATTACTGTTTGACTCTAGGGGGAGTCAGTTGGGGTGTGACGATTGGTAGTGACCATACTGAGTTAACATGTATGATTACAAGGTAATATTGATCAATGAATAACTCTTTTAAGTTGAAGAGAACATATTTCATTTGATTTTAAAGTTTGTGAGTTTTTTTAGAATTAATAAAGAATATCAATGTCATAACTTCATTTCTGTGAGGTTATTTGGATAATTATGATGATTACCAACTTATTTGTCTAGATTTTCACAAATATACTCCTATAAATAGGCTTAATCATATAACAATATAAGTTTAAAGATATTCGAATGTTTCCTAGAAGAAGAAAGATGGTTAAAACCAACAAGCATGTAATGATGATATAGATTTGAGTGAGGCTTATAAATTACAAGATCCAAACTATTTTGTTGAAGGTCTATTCTCCATGATTTATCCAACTAGATTTATTGATAATTGAGTTGAGGGCAGAATGAATGAAAATGTCAACAGACATGAAAGAGGTAGGGTTTCGGTGGTAATCTCAAGATAGTGGGAGTCTTTCATGAGCAGAGGTCTAAGCATGGATATAGATCAAGTGGGGCCAAACCACAAATATATTTTAGTGCTCCAAGTTCTCTATAGTTTAGATTTTATTTCTTGCGCTGCTCTTAGTTATCTATTAATTGCTCGGACTAAAAATCATTGTGGTGATTTACATAAAGTAGTTTTGTGCTATAGATTGTTGACTAAACTATTTTAATCATGTCTAAATAACAAAAACTCACATTTTAGCACCAAGTCATTCCTGGATCGGCCATATATCTCTGTAATAACATTGATTAGTTACTTTGTTGTTTATTAAATATAGTGAAAGCTTATGTGCTGCAGTAACTCATTAGTATTTATGCATGCAAGTTGCATACTCACATGACAAGTTTTATCATAAATCCATTCACCAAAATTCATCCTGATCAGATGTCAACATTTGTTTTAGAATACTTGATTTATTATTTAGCTTCGAATACTACTTGTTAAATATTCCGTTTCTATTAGCACATTTAATTATGCAGTATTTAAATTTTTAGATTTTATAAGTAAATTCTAAGTGTGAAAAGTAGCAACAAATCCATTTCATCCCCACCTCTCTTGAAGCGTCTCTACTCCACAAAATCCAAGGATAATGATTTCTAAGGAAGGAGATACGTGCAACGATGGATTGTTCGTGAAGGTCGAGTTCAACTTATGCCTGCTCCTCCAGCAGTTGTATTAATTCCATACAGGTTAGACCATCAATGCCTCTAATTCATTCTTTCTCATCATTGTTAAAGATATCCAAGATTGGTAATATATTAAGAATTTGAATCAACTGGCCCTCATTGCATCTTTATGATCATATTTGTTCTTCATAGTAGTTATGTATTTAGTAAGTAAATTAAAATATTGTCAATATAATTTGTCATATTTTTGCATTTGTCTGACAACAATTTATACTCATCCTATATTAATTTGCAGTTCTCATCCACGAAGGACCGCATAAACCTCCTAAATTCTAATCACAAAATAAAACTAACACTTCAAATTATCAAAAACACCCATGTGAAATGCTCAATTACAGGCACAACCACCAACAAGTGAACTGCTAAACACTAGAATCATTCCGTGTGCCACTAAAAATATCTCTTGCTAGCAAGAGAAGCCATTATTAAGATGCCACAACAAACTTCAACGGAAAGATGCAAAAAACAAATCATATTGACATGAGATTCATTATGTTGATATGAGATTCATTAGGGGATACAGATCAGGTTGAAAGTGTTGAGCATAAAAAAATAGATTAGAAGAACAATTACATTCGGTTATCTATTTAAATTAATGCATCAAAATGAAACTAACGACCGTTACATTTGCACCACTGAAAGCTCAAGTCAATGCTTTAGATTATGAGCCTCCGTGTGTCCGTGTGCAAAATAATCAAGACTGAACTTTTAGAAGTTGATCACCGATCAAAGACCAATGCCGAACAGTTGTTGTCAGCATCAAAGCTCGCTATAGCCAAAATAGAACTATGGTTGATGTATAAATCTAAACGATGCTAAAAATAATCAATTGATCATTGCAAATTTTAATGTTCTTGCATTATATGTTATATTTGGATTATAGAAGATATGACACCGCAAAATTTAAATAATGTACGTAAAAGGTGGAACAGCATGACATAAAGTCCAAGAAACATTCTTAGAAATGGTCCCAAAACCTCAAATTTTCAAATCCAACAGTTATTCATAGATATTCTAACTCTTAACATCACAGAAGCATTGCATTTTTCTTGAAATATATCCACACATGAAACTTCAACAACTTAATGATGCATGGTGTCCTTAACAATTCAAATAAATCAACCACAGAATAGTTGGCAAGGCTTACCTTTTTCTTTAGCAAAATGACGGCTTCAAGATTGTCAATAATTTGCTGCATAGGCTTAAGATCACATTCCTCCAAAGCGTCATCATCATTGCGATAATGGCACAGCAGAACTTCTGATAAACTAAGCATTGCCTTAACAATAACTCTGGTATCTTGCCCTTGGGATAAGCATTTGCTAGGGGCATCTGATGGAACTGGATTTTTAGGTTCAGCTGATGGAACTGGATTTTTAGGTTTAGCAGGAAAAACAGCATTAAGAGATGATAAATTCATTTCACCATTACTAGCATTCGGGTCTGAGCCAGCGGAACTATTTGGAGAAGTAGATATATGATTAAAAACAAAATCCGAGTTTCGAACTGCAGGTATTGTCTCGCTAGTGTTAGAGCCAGCATTCCAAACATTACTTTCTACTTGACTTACTTGCCTCACATGATCATCAATACCTTGTGGAACGCTTACTTGTTCATTTAGCACATTATTGTGTTCCCCATGAATATCATGCTGTTTAATTTCCATTCCACTCTCTACTTTGGCAGGATTTGATTCTCTTTCCACGCAATCATGAAACTTCAGATCAGAACCTGACAAATCAGTAACTGGAGGCAAATCTATATCCTTTCCATTCCCATTGCAAGCAAAAGTGCCATCAATATCAGACAGAATATTTAGAGATCTCGGACCTTGAACCAACTCATCATTATCACCGGTTAAAGTATTGACCAGAGGCTGTAAGATTTCATTAGGACTAAAAGGATACCAACGAGACATTGAAGCACCTTTCCAGCATGGAGAATCCACAGCAACATTTAGATGATCAGGTATTTCTTCAGTGGCTCGCGTGGAATCATCAGGTATAAAAATACCTCTTTCAGAGTTAGTAGCATTGCAACAGCTCAAGTTACCAACTTTAAACCCGAATTTTACAGCCTGTAAAGAATCAATGGACTGTTCTATAGCTGAGCTATTGCCTGACAACAAATTTTTTATTTGTAAAGAATAATCTGGAGTTCCTCCGTTTTTCTGTGTTGCATCGCTAGAAATGCCCATCTTCACAAAACCCTCATTACCTTCAGCGTTTTCATGTATGCTAGCCTCATTCTGCATACCAATTGCATAATCTACATAATCATCATTTTTTCCGTGCAGTTTTGCATGTTTAATTACAGAGTTCCCATGTTTTAAAACACAACTCAACACAGACTCATTCTTCTCATTTGATGGAGCATATGCTTGTCTAGAAGTTGTTTGAGCTGGATAATGCCCTTCAGGCTCTCCTGAACAAGAGATAAGTTGTCTAACATATCTTTCATAGGGGCTTCGAATGAATGCATCGCATTCCTTTACAACAGAAGTGGTATCTGGAGAGTAAAAATAAGATGATCCATCATTGGGCCACAAAGTGGTGTCCAACTCTGCAGAAAAGCAGCTACCATTTGACACCCTACTCTTATCCATATATATTTCCCGATGACGGTCATCTAGCCATTCCGAGCATTCAGATCCAACATGACCATGAGTGAATGAGGATTCATTATGAGCTCCAAGCCAAGAACCAAAAGATTTTTCATAGGCGCTGAAGTTATCAGCAGTACCCCCTACAAGATTACAAGAAATATAAAATATAACTCTTAGGTTGTACTGAAGATGATTATCGAATAAAAGAGAAATTCAACGCTTAAACTGCTCTATCAGAAGTGCCAGACAAGTATCCATCACAACAAATTGAATAATGCAGGTAGTCATTTCATCGGTTGAAGAACTGGCTTAATGCCAAACAAAATTGACAGAAATGTTAGGGGAAAAAAGCAGGTTTGTATCAAAGATCTAGGATACTGCAAAAACAATCAAAAAATAAAATAAATTATAATTAAATTGCAATGTATTTGAAATTTATTTGGATTTTATTTAAGAATAATCATATGATCCATCAAATTGAAATAAGTGAACATGTGATAATGTCCAAGATGCCACAAGAGGCAAATTTTAAGACTTTAAATACAGAAACGACTCAGAAAAAAAAAAAATCAGAACAATCACACTCAAACATAAACTGGTAATGAATGCAACTAATTTGCTTTCCTAATAGATAAAAACTTTCACTTTTAGGAATTGGAAAACGACCATGAATGACATTGCAAAGAGTCTTCCAACATGTCAAGTTTAAGCTCTATAACTTGTTCAAAGGCAACAACATATCATCAAGCAAACGTATGACTTTCTACTTAGCAACGTTATCTTTGACATCCAGCAATTTTGACCACCACCAAATCAACCACAATTTTTCTAGGCTTTAAGATCAAGCTTTTTTTATAACTTCTCTGGCTAAAGTCGTGCTGATGGAACCACTGATGTAAAACAGGTTTAAGAAGGAAAAAAAAACAACAACAACAACAACAACAAAACCTTTATCCCACTAAGTGGGGTCGGCTACATGAATCCTTTTTCTCCACTGCGTCCTATTTAGTGTCATATTTTCATTTAATTATAATTAATGAAAATCATTTTTTATACAATATGCCCAAGTCATCCTAGGTCTACCTCTGCCTTTCTTAACATAAGTTGAATCTAAAACATCTACTCTTCTAATCGGATCATCAAATGATCGATGTTTAATGTGAGTTTAATGTGTAAGATGACTCTAATTTTGTCCGTCACTGGAGCTACACCAACCCTATCACTGGAGCTACACCTCATTAGAGCTACACCAACCCTTTCGTGGATATATTCGTTTCGTATTTTGTGTAAAAGTGTTAAACTACTCGCCCACTTAATCATTCTCATATCAGCAACACTTAATTTAGTTTTATGCTTCTCTTTTAAAGGCCAACATTCAGTGCCATATAGCATTGCAGGTCTCACCACTATCTTAATCTTATAACTATCTTATAAAATTTTCCTTTCAGTTTAAGCGGTATTTTTCTATCAAACAATAGGCCCAAAGCAATCCTCTACTTCAACCAACCAACTTAAGTTATACTAATAACATCCCCATCAATATCACCATCACTTTGAACAATAGACCCGAGATATATAAAGCATTTACACCTTTTAATAATTTGATCACCCATAGTTATATTTCTGTCACTATAGCTACTACTACTAAAATTAAATTCCATGCATTCATTTTTAGTTCTACTCAAACGAAGGCCTTTATACTTCAAGCTACACCTCCATAATTCAAGTTTTTCCTGAGTTTTTTCTCTCGTCTTATCCACGAAAAGGATATCATCAGCAAAAAGCATACACTAAGGTACATGCTCCTGTAAGTGTCCACTAAGACCATCCATAACTAAAGCAAAAATATATGGGCTTAAAGCCGATACCTGATGTAAACGAAAAAAAATAAGAAATTATTTGGTCAATCCTCCTCCTCTTCGAACACAAGAAACAGTTCTTATATACATATCTTTAATGACTTGAATATAAGTCATATCAACACCTTTCTTTTCAATAACTCTCCAAAGGATATCTCTTGGAACCTTATCGTAAGCTTTTTCTAAATCAATAAAAATCATATGTAGATCCTCATTATTATCTCTAAACTTCTTCATCAAACCACTCAATAAATGCATTGTTTCCATGGTAGACCTGCCCGGCATAAATCCAGATTGATTATGAGAAACCTTTGTAATACGTCTTAACCTATGTTCAATTACCCTCAATTAACCTATGTTCAATTACCCTCTCCCATAATTTTAAAGTATGACACATCAACTTAATTCTTCTATAATTGACAAACTCTTGCGCATCCCTTTTATTCTAAAAAATGGAGACTAAAATACTCTTCCTCCACTCAGACGTCTTTTTAGTTTTTAAAATAATATTAAACAGTTTAGTAAGCTAAGACACTCCCAAATCTCCTAAATATTTCCACACTTCAATTGGGATAGCATCAGGTCCTACAGACTTTCAATCATTGTTTTTCTTTAAAGCCATCTCAACATCTTTTTTACTAATGCGACCATAAAAATTAAATATTTTATTATTATTAACGATATTAAGATCACCAATGATCAATGTTGAGTACTCAAATCCTCACTCTGAATGACCTTACAATCATTGCATTCTCGACAATCATTGCATTCTCATAAGAAAATAATCAATTTGTGTCTTATTAGATCATTCTTATAAGTAATAATATGTCTATCTCTTTTCTTGAATAAAGTATTAGCAATAACAAATTCGTACGCTAAAACAAAAACTAATATAGCTCTACCTTCTTCATTAATCACTCCAAAACCGTGGCTACCAAGAATGTTTCTAACGTGGCTACCATGAATGTTTCTAAAATCTTCTACCACTCTATCGACATGTCCATTTAAATCTCATCCACTAAAAATTCTTTCTTCAACAGGTATCATTTGTATTATTTCTTCTAAGTTATTCATGAATTTATCTTTATAATCTATATTTAAACCTACTTGATGAGCATAAGCACTTATAATATTAAAAATCTTAGTATCAACAATAATTTTAAGAACTATAATTCTATCTCCAACTCTGTTGATTTTTACAACAATATGTTTCAAACTCTTATCTATAATTACACCAACCTCATTTCTAGTATGGCTCTTACCTGAATACCAAAGTTTAAAACCTAAGTTATCAATCTCCTTAGCATTTTCTCCAACTCATTTAGTTTATTGAACACATAAAATATTTATCTTTCTATAAATCATAATATCAACTCATTCCAATAATTAAGAAGAAAAAAACAAAAAAGGAAATTTCACATCATTTGTTAGAAATAAAAATAGCCTTATGATTCGTTCTGGAATACAGGACAAACACATTTTCTTTCATGAACACAAAATCAAAGCAGTACAACACGTATATATAAAAATAAGCATCTATAATTCGATAGGTAGGTGATCTCACCTAAATCCTACAATTTGAGAGGAAGGAAATCTCTCCCAAACCATAACTCTAACACTCAAGACAACAATATCATGCATAACCCTAACCCTAAGCATATTAGCTCTATTTATACTAAACAATAATAAATAAAATAAGACTAATAAAGACTAAATTGCCCTTAGGGACCGATGTAACAATACTCCCTCCCAAAAAGGCACTTTGTTCTCAACATGAAAAAAATTGCTACTGGATCAATTCATATGGCTCCCACGTTGTCTCATCATTTGGCGATCCTTTCTATTAAATCAAAAACTCGTAATGACTCTCACATTCTTAAAATATCATCTTGTGCACATCCTTCGTCGCAGCCAAATCTGGTGGACTCTGACTTCAAGTCAATCCTGGAGAATATCACGGCCTCAAATAACTCATCCAATAGCTCATCGATCCCAAAAATCTCTACCAACTCCGTATAATGTCTCTTTCATGCTACGCAATTTGATCAAAAATCTCAACCCAGCTTCCTGAACCGCCCTCAAAATAGTATTCAACGTCACCAATGTCTTGCACAAATTGGGGTCATCGTGAAACACTGTCATCTTCTCTCATTACTGAAGACTGTAGAGTCCAAATCAGTCCCATAGAAACTCCCTCGCTCTTCTTCACATGTTGTGTTCCCATCATTACTTTTGAATCACCTTTTACCAGGGAGAATGCCACGCCACAAGCATTAACGCAGTTGGATGAAAACCTTCGTCAGAGTCCCACCCATCGTGTCTCTGTATCTCAGGCCAAAGTTCTATGAAGTGATCTTATCCAACCCCGAATCGCACGCTGTCCTGACTGCCTAATGTCGCTTGTCCCAAACCTCACGATGTCGTAAGATTCCCTCCAGATGTTGCCGCTCGAATCCATTCTCCTCTGTTTGAGCTCGTTTGCTTCCCTTTGTTCCAGCAATTAGAATGTCGTGTTATTTCTTCCAAATGCTGCTACTCGAGTCCGCATCTGATTTCTTCACTAAACGCCACAACTCCCGATCCATCTAAAACACCAAAGCTACACTAATGTCATGTGAAACCTTCTAGTTGTTGATGTTGTCGCGTTATTTCTTCCAAATGCTGCTACTCGAGTCCGCTTCTGATTTCTTCACTAAACGCCACAGCTCCCGATCCATCTAAAACACCGAAGCTACACTAATGTCATGTGAAACCTTCTAGTTGTTGATGCTCACAAACATTCCCGACGTCATCGCACGATCCCACGGTGAGTGGAGGCAATTTGTGTGAAACTCTATGATCTTCATCATTTCTTCCAGGGCCGTGAATCTCTCTTCTAAAGACAGGAAACATTCCTCCACCTCAGATCTAATTTGGTTTAACCCTTTCTTTAATACCAATTTGATACGATCCGAAATAGATTTCTCACAGCAATCAGGGCAACCATATTTTATTTTACGAACACCAAAATCAAAGCAGTACAACACGAATACATAAAAAAAGCATCTATAATTTGAGAGGGTGATCTCACCCAAATCCTACAATTCGAGAAGTGGAAAATCTCTCTCAAACCCAACCCGAAACACTCAAGACAAAAATTTCATGCATAACTCTAAGCCTAAGCATATTAGTCCTATTTATACTCAACAGTAATAAATAACATAAGATTAAATTGCTCTTTGGCTAATAAAGTCTAAATTGCCCTCTGGACAAGTATAATACCTTGAAAGTTCATTAATAAAAAGTCTTAAGATTTCATCCCGAAAGAAAGCCACTCCATACTATCCTAGCGGCACGAAACAAAGGTATTTTATTTGCAAAACCAACACCCAAAATGCGAAATGAATGTATCCGTGAAAGGGTTGGTGTAGCTCCCGTGGCTAACAAGATTAGAGAGAGTCGTCTTAGATGGTTTCGTCACATTAAACGTCGCCCAGCTGATGATCTAATTAGGAGAGTAGATATTTTAAATTCGACTCGTGTTCTGTAAGACAAAGGTAGACCTAAAAAGATTTGGGCATATTGTATAAAAAATGATCTTGATTTATTAGAATTAAATGAAAATATGATGCTCAACATGACACAATGAAGAAAAAGGATTCATATAGCCGACCCCACTTGCAAATAAAAAAAAATTAAGAAAGATAATTTAAGAACAAGACAATTGTTTAATCACTATTGATAATTTAAGAACAAGACAATGGTTTAATCACTATTTCATGCCTTGTAAAATTCATGGCAGCAGTTAAAATCATTTGAACTCATATTTCTAGAAGAATTGCTAGTGCGTGTTAAAGTGACATGAAAATTCATAATGAATCACATGATGCTAAAAGAAGAAAAAAATCCATTATAATGATATGTATGTTAGTTGGTTACAACCATTCTTTCATTGCATTAGCCTTCTGAGAATGAGAAGTAATATTAATACAATCTCCAACACATGACTGGATTTAGACTGGATCATTGCAAAAAATAAAATTTCATAATCATTATCACAAATGTCAGAGGAGCTTGATCACCATCACAACCTCTCCATGGCTTGGTATCCAACATATGCTTCAGACCACTCTCCTTCCAAATTGGCTTGGTCAGCATATCCAATCAAAATGCATCATGTGATCAAAATGCATTCAAATCTAACTTCAAAAACATTTCAATCAACCACTCCAAAGCAGCCTGTGAAAATTATAATTGATGAATACCACTACACCTTTTCCTAGTTTGCTTGTAGCCAAACACTGAAAGGAAGGTGGATGTTTATATCTTTCTTGTTCTCTATATAACTCTATATTAAAACATGTGCTTCATCATGAAATGGTGAATAACAAATTGGCTTAATTTACTTGTGAGAAAACACTAGAGAAGCTTGGTGGCCAATTTAACCTTCAAATTTTAGTGAAGTTATCTTATTTTGTGTTTGTTCCTCTTTCTCAATTTCCACCTTATACTTAATCCTAACCACCGTTTGCAATGTCTCAACAACCCTAAGAGCCAATTTGACTGCAAGTAGGATTTATAAATCCTAAGATAGTTAGAACCTAAAAACTGTTTAGCATGATCGGAGCAAAATCCTATTAAATCTTTATGAATTGTTTGGCAAATTATTTTAGGATTCAAGTCGGTCAACTCATATAAGATTTTAATAATATTTATTGATGATGAAACAAAAACATGCCAATTAGTAAATTAATAATTAATAAATTATTGAACTAGTTTAATATAATAAAAAATGATTCAACCGCAACTCAAATTTTCTCAAATACATTTAATCAAATGTCAAAGCAAATCAGGTCTAGCGATAAATTAGCTTGATTGGTCCAATTGATTCATGAAAAAATTGGCTAATTTATTTTGAATTGAGATTGAATTAAGCCAAAAATTAGTTAAATCTCAAATCAATTTTTTTCTCTTCTAGGGCGCGTTCTTAGTTCAACCTATAAGCAAGCACCAAAACAAACAAAGGTATATAAATATAAATATAAATATATATATATATATATATATATATATATATATGCATTGATGCATAAATTCAAATTGATCCCCACTTAACACAATTTGATTCAGGTCCAGCTCAATTAAGATTAGAATCAGGTCAAGCCTAGCTTGTCAAGCTGATTTGTAAATAAGATCCAAGCTCAATCTGAACCAGATAACAATCCAGTTTTCCAGCTATCCTTGATCTCCAAGTTAAATTTAAGGCTCCATTAATGAATGTACTCATGTGCAATGATTAATTTGTTAGCATTGAAAATAAAGCCAATCAAACTATTGAAAACCTAAAGTTCTCAAAGCAATGTACCTTTACAAACCTTGTTATTTGTAAAATTGCTACTGTTTATACATAGCTAAAATAGTATAATAAGTTTTCACAAGTCAATAATTTTGTTCCTGCATGATGTTAAAACCTTCTAAGAACAGAAATTTTAGCATATGATTCAAAATTTCAAAGCAAATTGGAATGCTTAATCCGGTAAAGATATCAGATGAAGTGACGCCATCATTCCTATGTTACTACATAGACTAAATCATAAACTAGGCTAGTTTAACTTCCCATACTCAATGGAAAAAAATAAATCATAAGTTCACCAAAGTTATTCATTTAATTAGCCATACAGATTTTGGCATGTCCAATAAATGCTAGTTTATCAAACATTGCTTATCATACCAAATAGTGGTTGATGTGACAAAAACAAATTCATAAAATATTTTTGAATTAAGCACCTTCAAAAAACAATACTTTAATCTCTAACTTGGTTAATGAAATCATTATCCGAGTTTTACTCCTCATGCATATATGAGCGCGCATTACTAAACTAGCATATTTGAGGAACCTTGAAAGTTCTTTCATCACATCGATACCCACCATGAGTTGATGTAAAGTAAGCGAAAGATGTTGAACAACACTTTGGATTGAAATGACATGTTTCTGCCAAAAGAGCGGTATAGATTTAAGTTTCCCCACAAGTTAAGAATATCAATTTTTTTATCAAAATTAACAAATTGACAAAGAAGTTCATCAATTCTCACGTCAATGCAAAGGGTGTGCAACATACATGATGACAATTTTTTTAAAATTAGGAAGTAACCAAAACAAGATTTTCAAGCGTAAAAAAAGAATCCAACTAATCAATATCCAACCAGCCATTTATTTGATTGTTACACATAATTATTAATTTAGAAAATTTGGTGAATAAATAATCAAAATGCCATAATCCTGAGCATATTTGGCAAACGAATTTGTTCTTCAAAAATGGTACAAATTCTAAAAGTGATATTGAAACTTATAAGGCTTATTCTTCAAACCAAAAAAACAATTCTCATATATGCATATTTTCCTTTAAAATATATTAGCTCTTCTAGAGAAAATCAAAACAATACAAAGATAGCAGTAATAAATAAATGAATGAACAAGAAACCTTACCTTAAAAATACGATAAAAATTAAAAAAAAGAAAAAAAGAGTGAGAAAAACTATAAAGATGTTGCTTTTCTTGTCATTTGTTGTTTTAAATACAGCCTTCTTTTTCAATGCCATTATCAAAAAACTGCTAAGTTTAAATCATTAAAATATCTTAAGACCACATAATCACAATGATGTAAATAACATACTATGATGTCATCTCTTATAATAATTATGACAATGTAAACTCTCAAAAATGAGGATGAAAAGCTAAACATGTCCTTATCAACCATTAACCATATGTTTTCCATTGATAGAACCAGTCAAAAGAGTAAAATTGTAAGCCAGCTAAAACGATCTAATGAAATTAATAAAGAAAGTATCAACAAGGACCAAATGAACATTATTTGTGCAAAAAGTTGAAGCTAAAAAGCATGTTCTCAATGAAAAGTGTGTGAGAAGAGATTCAATAGAACAAAAAAGTAGATGAGTTGTCCCCTGATAAAAATCAACATAGAAGGAAAGGATTAATGAGCAAAAGTGAGAATCAAAGTGAGTTAATTCCACCAAAAAAAACAGAACTGCTAAAAGCCCTAAATCTATATAATCCCATAAAATACGAAAAACATGAGATACAAGAGGTAAGGTTATAAGAAAATAAGAATAAACATGAAGATATTGTTCTTTGTTAAAGCACTTTCAAGATCAAGTCAAAATAGAATAGACAAACTGAAAGAAAAAAAACAAGAATGAAAACACGAACCCAATGGGAAAAGAATAAGTCATCACTAAAAGGTGGCACATAATGAATGCTTACTTGTAGACATGTCATAAGAAACTCAACTAGCTCGCATCAATGACAGCTACTAAGGACTTAGAGCTAATAAGCCTGAATAAATATGAAATTTAATTCATCGTAAAATATGCAATGAACACTTGATAAAGCACTAAGAGTTTTCTTTAGGTCGATAAGGAAGACTGAAGGACAAGTGTGCACATTCAAAAAAAAAAATTTAAGTTGAACAAATGATTCAAGGCTTGGAACAAATTAAAATTTGAAACTTTATTCTCAGTCTAGATTGGTCAAAATCAATTGTAGAATCATAAGTCATGGCTAAGTTCATGAAAGCATTATGGAATCCAATATAGGAATTAGCTTGGCTTCTTATAAGAGTTGAGTATCCATGCAAACTTAAGAAGAAAGCCACCAAATCTATCAAATAAGCAAGGGCAAGGTTCAAAGCATAAAATTTGCAGCTCTAAAGCCTGATTCTCCCAACAGGTCTAACCAAAAAAATCAGTAAGCCTGGGTTAACTTCTTTTAAAATTTAGGCCAGTCCAAAAATTCAATCCAACAAAAAAAAGGGCGATTAAATATTAAAATTCACTCCTCACACCTGTTTTGAACATATTTTTCATATCACACTTCTCAATTCACATAAAGGAAAAATGAGACATCCCCTAATCAAACACTCAGCGGTCAATTTCCAGCAAATAGACATGTATCACCCTCCCACGTTTCATCCTGGCCCTAAATATCTTCTTCAACGAATCCAAACCTAGAATTCTATTTATCGAAATCATTCTCCGCATATTGAAACTTAAAAAGTTTTAACACGATTGACAACAGATAAATTTCATAAATTACGTCAAAATTTTAACATAAATGCCGAAAAAAATGAACGAATATCAAAAAAATATATCATTTTATTCAGCAAGCAAAAATGCCATACTTTTCTGTAATGCCGACGACATCTGGCAACTTGCCATACAATCCATCCAAGAAGAATTCACCACTGATCCTCTCGCTGGCCTCCCTTCCTCCAAATCAAAAGTTCCACTCCATCCTCCAACATAGCCCTTATAATTCGACGTCTTCTCCAAAGTATCATCCACAGAATCACGTGCTGGATCATAATAAGGATAACACGGAGTTGCCTCCGCCGTTGCTAATCCAGAATTGAGACTCCTCAACCTTGATCCTCCCGTGGGAACAAAGTACGGAGACATGGCACCGGTCGGTGGATCTGGAGCTGCAGCTGGAGGTGGAGGCAGAAAATTAGGGTTTGCAACGGCGGGAACCCATCGATCAACGGTGAAAGGAGGAGCTAACGGCGAAAGAGTAGAGGATGACGGACATAGGCCCGGCGGAGGCGGATGGTGGCCGCGGTCGCCGGATCTTCCGATTCCCTCGAGGCGAATCATGGCTGTTTCACGCGTACCGATCGATTCTGGGAGCGCAACACCAGCAAAAAGGAAGCGAGGGACTCGGAACCCTTCGTGGTAGACCGTGCTTAGATTTCTGCAAGGAAACCAATAGTCAAATCCACAGCTTGCGGGCCCGATTTTGACCTTAAATAGTACTATCCGAGAAAATGTTTTATCATAATTTACTCTTAATAATAAACGGGTTAAATTTTTAATTAATTCATTTAATATAATATAACATATAATATAATAGTTATTTGAGCCAAATTTGAGTGAACCTAACTAAAAAAATATTTCATTTTAAAATTCCCAACATGGACCAGCTGATCGAAATAGTATTTGCGTCAAACTAAACTCGAATTTTTTTGTGTTTGATTCGAGTCGCAATATATCTTGATTAGTGTTGGGCTAATTTTTGTAATAATATTTTTTAAAAAATTATTATAAATATTAGATTATTTGTCTATATTACTATTAAATATCTAAATTTTAAATTTTTTATATTTATTTGTATGATAATTTATTTTTTGAGTTTTAGTAAAAATATAATTAATATTAACTTTTCTAAAATAAAATATATTATGATGCATATATTTTGATATGATTCTATCTATAGAAGGTAATATAGATAAATATAAGATTTTTATATTAAACAAGTAAATACATAAAATTGTGTGGAAGTAGATCTCCCTTTTTTATTTGGTTTACAATTTTCTTATAACAATTGTATTATAAATAAATTTAATTTTTTCGAAGAGTCCCTTCTCTGGAGTGCTTATTGCACTGTTCTTGACTTCATTTAAGACAACATTTTTGACTATTTGGTAGTAAGAAAATAATATTTGACTGGATGATAATTTTTAAATAATAGTTGAAAAGGATTTTTAACAACAAAATAAACAAAGCATAAGCCATCCCAATAGATAGCTCAGTTCAAAAGAGAAAATAAAATGTCATGAAATGAATATGGTGTTTAATTGTGTTTGCTTGTAATACCATGTCCATGGTAAGTGCATGAGCTCATAATGGCATTCATATGGCACATAGCCGGCAAGTACATATAATTCTCACAACAGTGGTGCATGTGTTGGACATGTGCCAAAGCTAAAGTAAGAAGTGTTGTTAGCGCACACATATGGTGTGGTTTATGAGCATGTAGTAACAATGACCAATGATGTGGGTGCACCCAAATAAATTACATTTGTTGATGTTGACCTCATTTTCTATTTCAACAATTCTTCATCTAGCCTAGTCATTCTACTTTAGGCCTACAATTCCTCTCTTGTGCCCAAAGACAGTTGGTTGACCTTTTGTCGCTAGTTGGTCATGGTCTGACTCATTAATCTTAGTATGGTTGGTTGTTCCTAGTCAGATTGGCTCATTTTCTGCCTTGTAGTCCCAATTGAACTCCATTTGGCCCTAATACAATCTATGTATTTTGGAGCTTAAGTGGTAGGCCAACTTTGGAACTTGTGAAGCCCAAGCTCGGGTTAGGTTTGACTTGGCTCAAGCATAGGTGGCTTGGTGAGTTTGCTTTGGACTAAATTAAAATTAAAGATAAAATTACATTTCATTAAAATATAATTCAAATGTAAATCACTTTAAACATAATTTACTTAATTAAAATTTATAAGTTAAGTTAGATTTAAATGAGATGAGATAATAACTTCATTTAGATCAAGTTTAACCAATCTTAACTTAAACTAAACTATAAATAGAATTTAAGACTTAAGTGAACTTAAATACTAAATTGATTTTTTTTAATCTAAATTAAATCAAACTTACACCTAAACATAATATAAGTTAAAGCTTGAATATAATATAAGATAACTTAGACTAAATCTATGTTGAGTCTAAACCTATCATAAATCTTACTAATCAAAGCCTAAGCTCAACCTCAAAACAAAAAAAAAATAAGTATTAGACTGATTAAAATAATGGGACAATTCAACTTATTTTTATTTAAACATAACCTGATTTAAAACTAAAATTTTGAAGTAAATATAAGCAAATCTTAATTAAACTCAACTTAAAGTTCAACTTAAAAATTATTGAACTCAACTAAAATTTATGTTATAATCAACTTAAATCCAATTCAACCATCATTTTTTGTTTAAACTTAAAGGATAACTCAAAATTAAACATAAAACCAATTTAAACATAAACTTAAAATACATTAAGCAAGGTCAAAACCTAAACTCTAATCCAAACTACCACATCAAAAACTTCAAAACAAAATCAAAGTTTGACCTAAACTTTATATTAATAGTAAACTACTCTCAACATACTTTAAGCTATAATTAATGCAACCTAAAAAGATCTTTAAGCTAGTCAATCCTAGAGTCATCTTGAACTATAACTAAACAAATCCCTTACTAAACCTAATATCAAGTTAAACCCAAAGAAAACCTAAGCTAAGCCCTAAGGAAGCTCAACCAAGAAGCAAATTCTGACATCTTCATCGTATGTAAATTCGATCTAGTCAATTAAAGAAGGATATGTGAACTTAATCAAGTTGGTTGGGTGAACAAATGCTTCACCTCAACTCACCATGGATAAATCAAGTGCACCCATAGCTCTGATTAGTCATTCTCATTGGGCAAGGTAGAAAAATCCTCTAATGCATCAGTCAAGCTATGGAATTGGAGGATGGAGAGCTTTTTTGTGATCGAGACACCTCACTCGAGCTTATTCGACTCTTCTAGCCACATCAAAACCACCTAACTAACTAAGAATACACATCTTATTTGACCAAGTGGCCAATTGGAGGACACTTGCCCAAATTAGCCTCAGTAGCTTAATGCCTCAGCTTCCAAAGCTTCCTCAGAGAGGTTTGAGCTTGAACTAAAGTTGCCTTGGCCCCTTGGATGAAGTTGAAAGTTTCCTGAGCTTGATCAAAAGTTATTAGCTTACCTCAAGTCAACTAATTAGCTCATTGCATCGCTTTGGAATGACTCATATTTGTACAAACAATGCAAATTTTTAGTGATGAGACAATGTGTGCTTTATAAATAAATTCAGAAAATTATTTAAAAATGTCATGATTCTAAATTTGGAGGTTATTTTGAGAATGATAGAACTGTTCATAAAATTTTGCTAACTGAATTTTATTGATCTACTCTATTTAGAGATGTTAATATATAAAAACATGTGATCGATGTCAGAGAGTATGTAATATTTCAAAAAGAGATGAAATGTCTCTAAATTTTAACTTAGATTTTGAAATTTTTTATGCATGGGGATTGGATTTTATGGAACCAACAGATGCATTGAATGTGGACAATTTTTGAAGGGCCGCTTTACTATTTATACATTCATTTGGAAATGTGTATATATTGATTATTGTGGATTATGTGCCAAAATGGATTGAAGAATTGAAACAATCGTTTTACCTCGATGTGATGCTCAGACTATTTAAAAGTTTTTAATTAAAAATATTTTTACAAGAATAATCATTACCAATGGAGGATCTCATTTTAGAAATGCAACAATTGCTAGGTTGGTGGGAAAATATAATATTATACATAAAATTGCAACTTCTCATCATCCCTAGACTAGTAGCTTAACAGAAGTATCTAATCGTGAAATTAAAAGAATTTTGGAAAAAAACTCTGAATCCTAATAAAATGGATTGATCTACTAGATTAGATATTGCATTATGGGCTTATATGACAGCTTATAAAACACATATAGGAATGTTTCCGTATAGATTAATTTTTTGGAAGACTTGCCACTTACCAGTAGAATTGAAACATAAAGCTTATTTGGTTATTAAAGAGTTCAATTTCAATTTGAAATATGCTGGTGAGAAAAGATTATTACAATTGAATGAGCTTGAAAAAATTAGGAATGAATAGGAATGAATCAGGAATGAATCTTATGATAATGTTAGGATTTATAAGGAATAAATGAGAGAATGACATGATCAGAAAATAATAAAAAAGAGATTTAAACATGGACAGGAAGTTTTATTATACAATACAAGATTGAAATTATTTCTTGAAAAACTGAAATCCACGTGGAAAGGGTCATTCACAATTGTAAAAGGTTATCCCTATGAAGTTGTTAATATTGAAGATCCCAAGACTGTAAGGATATTTAAAGTAAATGGGCACAGACTGAAACCATATTTTGATGGTCAAAGACAAATTTTAAAGAGACTGTAATGTTGGGTCACCTAGAATAAAGACTGGGAATGTCGAGCTGACGACATTAAACCAAGCACTTTGTGGGAGGCAACCCATATGTATTGTTGTTTATTTTGTTTCTATGCTTTTGTTCAAAATATTATATTTATATAAGATATATCGGTAATTCTATGGGTTATGTGTATTTGAGAAACTTGAAATTGATAAAATATTTAAAAACATTTTTATCTACCTAATTTTATGGAAGATTTGAGAATTTATAGGATTAAAATCGAAATGGTGAAAATTTTGGAACTGGCGCCTGAAGCGCCACTTTCTAGAGAGCTAGCGCCAGAATTGGTGCCTGAGGCACCGCGACAACGAAAATGACTTAAAAAGTTTCAAAAGGCTGTTTATGGAGGTTTTTGACAGGTTCTTCTCCTTATAACTCCCAAAAATTGATTCCAAAGTCTATTTTAAGGGGGAAAACGAGGGAATAGTCACTACTTTTCAAATCCTATGGCTTCCCACTCTAAATATTCCGCGATATTTGGAATTTTCAACCGGAGAACGTTTGTAAGTTTTGATACGCAGAAGTTACATTATTGAGTTCTTGTGAAAAAGAGTCTAATCAAGGAAAGGGGATTTGTGAATCAAGGATTCAACACATCTAATACTCGAGTGGAAGAGATAATTGTGCAAAGACGCTGGGAAGTGTTTTGTTATACCACTGCCACCGTAGTTGTCCTTGTGTTGAAAGAGTTTTAAACAAATATTCATAAAATCAACCAAGGAATTGTCTACGTGCAAAGCAAGTTTGTACAATTTACTTCTTCAAGAATAAATGATATGTTTATGATTGAAAGTGTTTCTATTTGCCACTATGCAAATTTTACCCCTACGAGAGATAAAATGAATGAACTTTATCTTATCGATACCTTATGGATGAAGAGATGAAGATGAAAAT